ATGTCTCAATTGTGTCTGATTTCCTCCAAAATATCATACCCATTTGCAAACCATTCTTTGAAAGGCTGAAAATGAATCCCAAGCCCTAGACTGAAGAACACATCAAAACAGTCCAAAAAATCAAATCCCTTGTCAAATCAATTCCGTGTTTATCCTGATAAACCAAAGGGTTGGTTTAATAGTGGAGACCGACACATCCGATATCGGATATGGAGGAATCCTGAAACATTCATTTGACAAGAAAGAATCCATTGTCCGGTTCCATTTAGGAATATGGAATTCAACTCAAAAAAATTACTCCAGTAAGAAAAGAAATACTTTCAATAGTACTTTGTGTACAAAATTTTCAAAGTGATTTAGTTAACAAAAGCTTTGTAATCAAAACAGATTCTAGGGCATCTAAATTTGTTTTAGAAAAAGATGTCAAGAATCTTGTATCTAAACAGATTTTTGCTAGATAGCAAGCCATTTTATCTTGCTTTGACTTCTAAATTTTGCCTATAAAAGGGGTCGAAAACCCTTTGTCTGATTACCTCTCAAGAGAGTTCTTACTCTGAAAGAAAAACTCTCCCTAGCCACTCTTCCATCGGGAGATGACCGAAAAGAAAGCGATAGAGAAAGGAAAGAAGCCCACTGCTTCTTCAAACACCCCTGCTCCAATGACATCTGACAGCTATGTGACGGATGCTGGTTTCACACGGGTGACCAGATGAGGTCGTCAAGAAAGCCTATCCATCGGGATTCTTTTATATTCCAGATGATTTTCATAAAACCTTGTTTTATGAATTCATTCTAGTTGACACAAAGTCCGTTGAAATTACTCATATTCCGAGTCGCGATGACCCTTCAAAAATCGCGTATTCAAAATTGAAAATTTTCAAAGTCATGAACCTGACATATTGGAATCAAGATCCATGCACGGAGAAATTTTTTTCAAAACCTTTTGTTCCTCATTCTTACTCATACAGAGATTATCAGATGGCATGGTTCAATGTCATTTGGTATCAAAATTACGAGCACTCACGGTTTATTTAATTCTGCCCTTACCCATTTTTGTTCATCAAATGGTGGTAAATCTTTGGATCAGCCAAAGATATATTTCCAGTTCCAATACAGGAATCATTCCACTACTTTATTCAAAATATATTCAAAACCCATTTCCATTAGCCATCCTCTTTTGTGTATATTTTCAAATTCCCGTTCTCTTTTGTGTATATTTTCAAATTCCTTCTATTTTAACATGTAATTTTCAAATAAAAGAAACTGAAGACCAAGTAAAACAGGTCTTCAAAATTATCAAAATCAAATGGTGGGATAAATACATCTATACCCATGCAGATCTCAAAACGATAAAGGTCTGGTTATTAGAAAATGGCCACCTTTAGGATTTATCCAAGAAGAAGACCTCCAAATTTCTTAATTCAAAGTCGAAGCTACTCGCTGCATTCGCCCAGACAACTTCGGAAGTTGACTTTCAAAAGCTTCTTCAAGAGGCCGCTTCCGTCGACTCGACATCTTCTCCTTCTATTGTAGAAGAAGAAGACATGATTTATGATCTCAATGATTCATTTTTGGATTCTCAACTGCCTCTATAAATGTTATGGAAAAGACTGAATAGTCGTTAAACTATTTGTAAAAAAAAAAAAAAAAAAAAAAAAAACTTTCATCAAAATTATTGATGAATATGGAATATCAAAATTATTGATGAATATAGAATATGTGAAAATGTGTCAGTACATTAATACGTAAATTTGGATGAACTTGGATGAACTTGTTGGTTCTTTCATGACATATGAGATTATACCCATGTGAGAGGAATCCAAAAAGAAGAAAAGTATAGCCCTAAAGTCCATTACATTGGAAACGAAGATGAGGAAGCCTTTCAAATATTTCATCAAAAGAAAAAATAATTTAAGAAACATTTCCCCATAAAGAGCTTGATGGAATTTTTAGGGTTTAAAACAAGCTTTTATGGTGAAATGTTTCTTAAATTATTTCTTCTCTTTGATGAAATTTTTATACTTGCGCGTGAAGTAGACAACATCATCTTGATCGTCAGAGTCAACTTCCAATGTGATGGACTTTAGGGTTATATTTTTATTCTTTTTTTTATTCCTCTTTCACGTGCTCCTTCATACTTCATGATAATGTCAGTCATGAGAGAACTAACAAGTTCATCGAAGCATCTCATGTGTCATGAGAGAACCAACAAGTTCATCCAAGCATTGTGTCGTGAGAGAACCAAGATGATGAATATGTGATTAAATTGGACTTTGAGGAGCCGTTTTAGACAAGTACCAAGAATTAACTTTGGCTTAGGTCAACTAAGTATGTAGCTTTATTATCGGTTTGGTTGGAAAAACTGTTTTATATATGATAACGTATACCTAGTGGCCTCTACACATGCCATATGTGCGATATGCTTAGATATGTAATGTTATGTTATTACGCTATATGATATGACAAATAATATTATGGTATAAATGAAATGTCATGTTATGTAACAATAAACTATGTTATGTTATGACATGTTATGCTATGCTATGCATGTTATGATATGTTTTGAAATAAGGAAATTTACGATGCACAACCTTCCTATGTCATGTCTTGAAAACTATGTCAAGCATGAAATGATGTATAAGAATTATGTATGCATAATTGCCGGATTTAGTATGTTAGGAAAGAATGTTATAAAAGATTGGAGGTTGTCTTGCATCATTTGTTATGCCATGATGGAAAGTATTGAGATCTCATGCATAATTGTGTATTCACATGCATAAGAATACTTCATCGTCATGCTATGTTAGTTAGGATGCGTACTTTCGATAGGATACGTAGGTTCGATATTTATGTTTGTCATGATATCATGTGGGTCTTTCCCTCCGTGGTGTTCGACGAAATATCAAAATGTTTAGCTCAACGAAGCCAGACCTAGGGGGTACGTATACGAGCCCTCCTATTGGGTCCATGTGCGCGTGCATGGGTTGTGTGTAGGAAAGTACCATATATCCAATCGGACTTGAAATATTTAAGAACTTTATTTTCAGGTAAGTCCATGACATTGTTTATGAAATATTTAAAATGAATGTTTCCGCATAAAAAAGGTCGCGTCATGCATATGGTAGCGACTCTATTTCAATAGAAAATTGGTTATGGATTTGCTCCAGTAAGAAAACGAGTTTTTCGTCGACTTTGAATGACCATATCTCACGCTTCACCCTCTAGCTCTTTCTTGATGTTTCATCTACAAGATTCATGAAGTGATTGAGTGTTGAAGCACCTTGGATGGGGCTGGGGAGTGTCGTTTTGAAACGGCAATGATAATCATCACGTCTTCTTTGTCTACAGGAGGAAGAGGAATGACGTGTTAGCCCCAATCTCGATCTTCCTTTGCTTTTTTATCAAATTGATCCTCTTTGGAGTGGTGCTCACAAGATCTTGAATATCAAATAAGAGGTGAGTAGTCGATCTATATTTTTTCTTAAGAAATACTTATAGGAATCCTTTGGTATTCAAGATAAGCCTCAAGTTAAGTAAGAACTAGGGGTTCATGAAAGAATTTGGCTAAGATCGATAAGTTGAGGCCTCGAACCGAGCAATTTGCTCGAGATTCAAGTAATGTCAAAACAACCATCTAAGCAAAATCACTCATGAAAATTTAATGCTAAGTATAATAGTTCAAACTACTTCTTCTAGTTGCTTCATTTCTCTCCATCAATTCATTTATTTAGGGGGAAAGCAAAAGCCCATGCAATCTTTCATTTATATCCTGGCATGTCAAGGTTATGTATGAAATTTGGTATTCATTGAACAATGGTAAGTAGCTCAACCAAGTAATGGGTGCAAAATGATCAAAATGCTCCTAAGCCATAATAGCTATTATTCACAATCTTAATGACCTCGGAACGACTTGAAACTTTATACATTACCTTAAGTCATGTTTGTTAAGGTATTAATAAATTTGGAGGACTATTGTATCTAATTAAGAGCTCGAACCATGGTTTAATTAAAAATTACCATATTTGTTAGTGAAAGAACGAGAATTACATGGTTGATGAGATGAATAGCCCAAAAAGCTATATATATACAGAAAATATAAAATGATATGAAAAAATCTACCTAAAAATCTGAGAAAATTTGATAACAAAGCAATAAATCAAATAAAAAGTAAATCAACTCCTAAGATTTAATTAGATACTAATTGACATTCAACTAAACAAGCATGTGATCTTTAACACTCCTTGTTTGGATGTTGTGAACTCTAACCTTTTTCTTGAACACCCATCTTTCTCCAATTATCTTTATGTATAGAGGTCGATCAACCAACTCCCAAGTTTTGTTTTTCTCAATCACCGAAAGCTCCTCCTCTGACAGGTGCATCATCAACCAAAGCATCTTGTTGTTCATCTTTAGACTCTTCTTGTCATTCATCTTCAGACTCTTCTAACATGCTACCAAAGATTAAATTGTTTGGTGCATTAGAAATCTTATTCACCTTCGTCAGTTCTTCCCAATTCCATTGCTCATTTCTAGCAAAATGAACATCTCAACTCACAATAACACGACTAGTGTGTGGTTGAAAAACTCTATAAGCTTTGAGTATAGTGCTATACCGAACAAATATGTCAACTTCTACCAACTTCTTTGACTACATCTGAAGCAAACCTCGTTGATGGAAGTGCCCAAGTCTTTTGTGCCAAATCTCAATGGCACTAGCTCTGGATATAAAGGTTATCTTTTTATTTCCTTTCATTTTGACATTGAACAAGCCTTTGCCACTAGTATTTTTGATCAAACACTGCTTATTCTCAAACAACACTTCTTTCCTATGTTGCTTCCCGAAATTACAAGCACGACAAAGAAGCATGTCATCATTAATGTCAGCGAGTCCTTCTACCAACTTCTTTGACTGCATCTGAAGCAAACCTCGTTGATGGAAGTGCTCAAGTCTTTTGTGCCAAATCTTAGTGGCACTAGCTCTGGATATAAAGGTTATCTTTTTATTTCCTTTCATTTTGACATTGAACTTTGATCAAACACTGCTTATTCTCAAACAACACTTCATAGCCTTTATCAAGTAACTGACCAACACTTAAGAGATTTTGATCAATTTTAGGTACAAATAAAACATCTAGAATAAATTTTGTACCTTTTCCTTTGACTTCCAAGTGTTCACCATTGCCAATCCTCACTCTCTTGACTTCAGTGTCTCTTAATTCCTCAAAAAACTCCTTGTCATATGTCATATGATTTGTGCACCCACTGTCAATCAACCATCTCTCGCTTGATTCTTTTCCTGAGAAACAAGTGACCACAAACCATTGATCTTCTTCTTCTTGATCAATTACCTGTGCATCTACTTCTTTCACCTGTCCTTTGACTTTGCAGATCACAGCTTCATGTCCAAGTTGATTGCATTTGGAGCATTTGGCGTCAGGTCTTCTCCAACACTTGTATGGTGGATGACCTTTCTTCTCACAATGGTGGCAAGGTGGATAGGATATTTTGAAACCTCCTCCTTTTGTCTTCTGATAATTGGCAGATGAATTTCCATTCGTCGATTGGTTTTTGAAAATTTTCTTGTTTTTATACTTGGTGTTGTCTTGATGCTTAACAAGTAAGGCACCTTCAATCACCCTTCTTGCCTCATAGACCTCTTTTTCTCTTATGCTTGTAAAGCATTCAAGATCTGTAAGAGAAATCTTTGATAGGTCTTTGGTGTTCTCAAGAAATCTTTGACAGGTCTTTGGTGTTTTCAAGAAATCTTTGACACGTCTTTGGTGTTCTCAAGATCTGTAAGAGAAATTTTTTACAGGTCTTTGGTGTTCTCAAATCTGTAAGAGAAATCTTTGACAAGTCTTTGGTGTTCTCCAGATCTGTAAGAGAAATCTTTGACAGGTCTATGGTGTTCTCCAGATCTGTAAGAGAAATCTTTGACAGGTCTTTGGTGTTCTCCAGATCTCTAAGAGAAATCTTAGACAAGTCTTTGGTGTTCTCTAGATCTGTAAGAGAAATCTTTGACAAGTCTTTGGTGTTCTCCAGATCTGTAAGAGAAATCTTTGACAAGTCTTTGGTGTTCTCCAGATCTGTAAGAGAAATCTTTGACAGGTTTTTAGTGTTCTCTAGATCTGTAAGAGAAATATTTGACAGGCTTTTGGTGTTCTCCAGATCTGTAAGAGAAATCTTTGGCAAGTCTTTGGTGTTCTCCAGATTTATAAGAGAAATCTTTGGCAGGTCTTTGGTGTTCTAATCTGTAAGAGAAATCTTTGATAAGTCTTTGGTGTTCTCCAGAGTATAATGATTGCTTTAAACTTCTCTGGAACAATGACTAGCAACTTTTCAACGATACTGAAATCATTTAACACAGAACCAAGCAATCTTACCTTGTTGGCAATGTTGAGAAGTCTGTTAGAGTACTCTTTCACTGACTCAGACTCCTTCATCTTCTTCAACTCAAAATCCCTAATCAAATTCAGGACTTTCATTCCACGAATCCTCTATCTCCCTTCATATTCAACCTTGAGGTAATCCCAGATTTCTTTTGCTGTTTTGAGGGATATTATTCACATGAAGATCATTTGAGATACAGTAGCAAATAGGCAAGCTTTTGTTTTTTTATTTTCTTGTCTTCTTTTTCTTCTATGCTTTGATTTGTGTTACAGTAGGATTTCCTAGAAGTGGAGGGACTTCATAATCCTCTTCTATTGCTTCCCAAAGATCCAAAGCCTCCAGATAAGTCTTCATACGAACTGCCCACATTTGACAATTGTCTCCATCGAAGACCGGTGGTGCAACAGCTAAAAAACTGGATTCTCCTTCCATTTTGATCTCACATATCCCTTAAGAAGATAGCTCTGATACCAATTTGTTAGTGAAAGAATGGGTGATTGAATGGTTGATGAGAAGATTATATTATGAAGAGCAAGACTCTATATATATAGAATATAAAAAGATATGAAAAAATGTACCTACAAATCTGCAGAAAATTTAGTAACAAACCAGTAAATCAAATTAAAACAAAATCAAATCAAATGAAAGGTACAACAATCTAAACAAACACGTGATCTTTAACAATATTGCTCCTACTGTCAAAACTAAGAATTTTGAGCATTTAAGTGCCTCCCCATTTAAGACTTCCTTACGAATTCATTCATTCATAACATGAATGAAGATAAGGAAAGGCTCAAATTTACCCTACCGCTATACATGCACCATGTTAGATGGAGTGTAGACTATTGTTGATGCATCATGTTAGATGGAGTGTAGACTACTGTTGATGGCCATGTTATACTCATTCCCGCCTACATTCCTTCTTCTTTTTAAAGAATTTGAAGCTTTCTATGGGTCCTTCAAGCGTGCTATTTTCATTAGTTTTATTCTTTTGACTTAATTAAGTGTATAGAGAGGAATTTTAGAGAATTTAAAATTCTTGAAAACCATAACCAAGGTTTGGAGAGTCTGACGAACAAGTAAGTAACTACATGAGCAAATTGTAAGAAATACTTATAGGAGTCAATTAGGACTATGGACAAATTAGTAAAAATCATGTTTAGAAGCTTAGAAAACTTAATAGTTTACGGTTAGCACACTACTTAGTTTTACGACTTCTATCATACATAATTTAGAGGTAAATATATTTATAAGTTTTCCAATATGTCTTGGTTGAACCGATCGCTAGCACTTGTACGAATTCTACTCTGTCGTTGAAATTCATGCAACTTCTCGCGCAGCTCCTAGAATTCAACCCCTTTCTCACTCCTAAACACCTCAACTCATTCTCATTCATCTCTCTCCTCAATTCTCTCCTAACTCATTTTTCTCGATCAATCGTAAGCTTCAAGCTCTATACCAAGAGAAATCGATGCCTAAAGAATCACCATCATTAAGGATTTTCTACCTTGTTCTTACTTTTAACTTCTTTGAGTTTAGGGTTGAGGAATTTTCTACCTTGTTCTCACTTTTAATCACCGTCATAAAGGACGATCAACTAAGAAAAGCTTAGGGCTGTTTGCTTAGGCCAAAACTTTGAATGACCTTACTTTTGAAACGTAAACCATCAATGTTGGATGGAATTGATTGATACATGAATAACACGTACTCTGTAATTCTATTACATGTTATTATTTATGTTATGATGCTCAAATGAACCTTGTGATGCATGTACTTCCTTTTTATTAACTATGATTAGACATCATGTTGTGTCATGTATGATAATTATGATTGAACTATTATGAATATGTACATCTCATACAATATTTGTCATGATAAGTATGAAAATATTATGTGCACTATCTCATTAAACCATAATTTTTAATGCAGTACCTCATGCATGTTGTATGTCGTATGATTATGGATTACTTATCAGCATGTCATGTATAGACGTATACACCACGTTATTATTTGTGTTCCTATATTTTTCATGGGCTTTCGACAATGTGAATGTGCACTAGCCCATAGTCCAGCCTAAGGGGCTTTCGACAATGTGAGTGTGCACTAGCCCATAGTCCAGCCTAAGGGGTTACGTTGACAAGCTTACTTAGAAGGTTCATGTCAGCATGTGTGAATGTGTGTAGAAAATACTTTGAATCCAACCCTATTGGTAAAAGAGAGTAGAACCCAAGGAACCATCATAAAAATTAGGTCTCACTAACCATGATACATGTTGTATGCAGAAGCATTTCTCAACTCCATTTTAAATACTCCTCCCATATTTAACATTATTTTCAAGTAAAGACAAGACTCCATATATGGATAACATCATTAATTAAGGAGGCTGTAGAATAAGGTCATTTATAGATAGTTTATTTCTTTGTTACAATAGTTTAGTAATGTTTCATCTTTGAATTTTTTTTACGAAACTCATACGCAAATTTTAAGAACTCGAAAACCCAAAAGAGAAACAAAACCCTGTAGATTTCACTTTCAGTTTGAAAAATTAGAGTGGGAGATAATATTGGAGAAGAGAGTTATGAGTGGTGGGAAGAACAACTTTTTCTCTTTTTATCTTTAAAGTAAAAAAAGGAGAGACAAACCGTGGGTCGCAGGTCCCATCTCATAGGATGGTTAGTAGTACGAATCTCTATAATGATATAATATTATCTTAAGAAGTTCTCTCGAATGGAGATATATTTTTTACTTATAAATTCATCATCATCATCATCTTCTAAATTAACCAACATGGGATTCATTTCGAACCATTCTCAACAATTCATGATTAGCCTCAAATTTTAAAAATAGGTAAAAGAAATAATAATAATAAAAGAAGCAAAACAAAACTCGCTCACAAAACGACTATGCTTTTTGATGATAAAACATACCACTGAAGATGACTAGTTAAGGAAAAAAAAGCTTAACAATTCTTCTAGAAATGCTCCACGGTTAATAAATTGTACGACGACTAAATCATATATCAACAATGCAGTTATAATATAATATGTAATTATCAATCTTTCAATATAGGACTACCACATCCTATGATTCCAACGTCACATGTGTTATTATCATTTGCATGACACTTATTGATAACTAAACTAATTGAAGAGAGAAAGAAAGAAGCAATTAATATTAAGGTACGTAGGTTATTCATCAAGCAGCTGCAAAGGAGCAAGCTGATGAAGAACTGAATCTTAGTAGAAGTGCTGATATGGAAGAAAGGTACCCAACATCTAATTACATTACAAACCATAGACATGAAAAGGGAAAAACAAAAAATAAGGCTCTTCTTTTAGCGACATAATTAATTAGAACACAGTGTTTCCAAGGTCCACCCAAAGTCCTCGAACACGCAGACACATAAAACACAGCAGAATTGGAGAGCAAGAAATGAAGAAAGGCATGAAGTTGGCCTATGTCCTAACCATGGTTGGTTGCTTGGTTGGTTTCTTGGGTTAGAAGAAGAAGAAGAAGATGAAGAAGCCAAAGGGAACCCAAATATCTCCCAATGGCTCACATGCAAAATGCTTATTTTGAGAGCTCCGTATCCATTAATGGACCATCTCAAAATCATGGATGATGCTTTAAACCCTAATCCTAAATTTCTAATCAAAACAACAAAATAATGTTAAACCAACAGCAATATTTGTGCTTTGGTTTACCAAAAATTAAACCAGGTTGTAACTCCCATAAGTTCAACAACCATTGTTTCTTAATTTTAATTACAACAAACTAATATGGTAGCTTAAGAGTTAATTAATCCCCTTACCCCAAGAGGAATATGTCAAACTAATACTAAATTAATCCATAAAAAGAGAAGAAGAAGAAGAAAAAGACAGAGACAATGTAGCCACTAATTCTAAAACTTGGTGATTTGTCCTAATTTTTGAAGATAAAGGTGGGGCATCCCTTGCCCCACCAATTCTTTAAAATCTGAATTTCTTCTCATAGTACTTTACTCCTACTTCAAATTTAATTACAGATGATGATAATGAAGATCAAAAGTTGGGAAAAATATGAGCTTTTTTGTTGTTCAAAGTGATGGAAGAAATGGGTGTGCTGTTTTGGAATGAAATTTACAATTTTGATGCAAACCCAACAAGTGTTTGTTTTTGAAAAAGGTGATTGTTGTAATGTCCTTGAGAGCCACTCCTAGGCTCATCAACTTACAACAAAAAGGGGGATCACCCCTTCATAGCTTGCACTAAAACCATGCTATTGGCAGATTTTCGCCAACTCAAGGCCAAATCCCTTGTTGGCCAAAGTTGGGTTTTTTTTTTTTTTTGACCCATCATCACAAAATGAAATGAAAAAATGAAAATGCATGATTTTGCTCCAACTTTGGAGGTGAGTTTTGGGTGGGTTGGTTTGGTTCGGTTCGGTTTGGCCCCGACGAGGGGCATGTGTGTTGGTTGGTTGGTGTTAGAGTGAGTGAAATAAAGAGAGAGAGAGAGAGAGATGGAACCATGGTTAGGGCGTAGGAGTAGGAAAGAGTGTTGAGAGATGAGGGTTTTGTGTCTCTCTAGCGATGTGGGATTGGTGCAGTTAGAGCCATTGTCACGCCTGTGGCACAGCAAAAAACACTGTCAAAAATATTAGTACGTGTACATAAATCATATCATGAGTTTATAAGTAAAGAACATAACATAAAAGAGTACCTGATGGCAGGGTGGGTGGCGTGGGCGGGAGAGACATAGGAGGACCACCATAGTGCTGTGGGAACGTGGTTGCAGTTGAATTAATCCCAGCCGAGTACTGAAACAGATGGTGAGGGTACTGAACCCCATAACCCTGTTGACCAGAACCGACACTGAACCCATTGGCTCCGCCGCCGCCGCCACTTCCTTCCCCAAACTGGAAATACGGGTAGAACGCCGCCGCACCACTCATTAAGCCGCCGGGACCAGTACTATACACAGGGTACTGTGCAGTTGCGCCACCGTACACATTGTAATAGCTCTAAATCAAAATAAAATAAAATAAAAATTAATATTCCAAAGTGGTAGGCTACAATTTCATGATTATAATGCATGAATCAACGTATAACAAAACCCATAAAAAAAAAAAAAAAAAAAAAAAAAAAAAAAAAAAAAAAAAAAAAAANATGAATCAACGTATAACAAAACCCATAAAAAAAAAAAAAAAAAAAAAAAAAGAAAGAGGGGGTCTGTTACAATATTAATTGCAAAAACAGAAAGTGTCCCATTAAAACGACAAGACAAGTAAAACAGGAAATTGGTTTTGTTAACTTTCAGTTTTGAACCCTTTGACCAGATAATATACAGAATCTTTTACTTTTCACCCTTCCCTAAAGAAGTATTAATGAAGGTAAAAAAGAGATGTGAGTACAAACCGTAGGGTAAGTGAAGTCCGGGGAATAGGAAGAGTACCTAAAACAATAGCAATGAGGAGGTAATTAAAATAGTAGTTACTGTGGCAATGCATGCAGTAAAAGAAATGAAGTAATTTAGAGTGATGAAGAATTAATGGTTGTAGTGTAATAAAGTAAAGCGATAAAATATAAATTTACCCATAGAGATTGTAAGGGATCCCTTGGTGGACAGCATAATGAGGGAAAGTTGGTGTTGAATGAAAAGCTGATCCAACATTCCCTCCAAATCCACTCTGGAAACAGCTCAATACCCTAAAGTTTCTTCCTCCACCTCCGCCGCCGCCTGCCAATTCCCATTTCTTTTTCTCTTTAAACACAAATTAAAAACAAATGAATGATTAAAAAATTGTGGGTTTGGTGGAAATGATGATAGATTTGGTAGATCTGAGTTATAGTACCGTGGTTGGGTGTTGAGGGTTTGGATCTTTGAACCCCGAGAGAAGCGAGGTTGCAATTAGCCCTCCGCCCGTCGATCACCGGAGCAGCATCCACGCAAGCCCTCATAGCGGCTTCGGGCTCCCGGAAAGTGACCTGAAATGAAGAGTTGTTAAAAGAGTTGTTGTTGTTAAAAGAGTAAAGAAAAGAAGAAGGAAGCGTACAAATCCATAGCCTTTGGATCGACCGGTGGCCTTGTCGGTAATAACAACGGCTTCCAAGATATCCCCAAACTGTTGGAAGTATTTGTTCATGGTGTCCTTGTGGGTCTCCCAAGCCAAGCCGCCCACGAAGACCTTGGTGTAAGTGGTGTCTCCAAACTGAGCTCCCAAGTTAGCTGGACTCATGCTCTTCCAACCTTCACTGATGCTCGTCTTTGGTTTTTCAGATTAGATCTCACAACAGCAAATGGAGGGGTGAGGAGAGAGGAAGAAGAGAGAGACACAATAATTAGGTAAAAGAGAAAGTGAAATTGGGTGATGCAAGTGAGGGAAGGGAAGACAGCAAATATTGGATGTTTGTTTGGGTTAAAGTGGAAAAAAAAAAGGAAAGAAAGAGAGGGTGATGAGTAATAGGGACATGAAATTATATACACCCAATAGAGAGCCCACCTTCGAGGACCAACACCACCACCTCTTTCTTCCTTTTTCCTTTTTCTTTTCTCTTTTTTCCATTCTTTTTATGTTTCCCAATTACCCTAATAAATTCAACACTCTCTAATCCAATTTTTACATTTTTTTTTTATTTTAAAGATTGGTAAATTATATAGTATCGAGTAAAGGATTAGATGTAATATATGTAATTTTAACCTATTGGGGTTTTTTTTTTTTTTTTTTTTTAATTTTTGGATAAGAGAAGGGACATTCACGCGCGGTGATGGGGCGCGTGGAGGGATGAGGGTATAATTGAGAAAGGAGGAGGGGGAATGTGAGCACGCGCCATGATGGACGTGGTTGTGTCAGATGGGAGAGGGTGTATTATTATGTCCGTCATCGCTGTCCTTTCGACTATTTTAAGGGGGTGGGGTTCTGGGGAAGACAGATAATATGTAAGTAGCCTTGGATTTGCTTTTAATTACGTGAAATGCCATTTCATTCTCATACCTAACGGGACACCCCAAAACGGAACGGTAACGGTACAAAGCTCAAAGGTCAGCAGAGTTAGAGCCTCAGGTTTTGGGTGTATAAATTCTTTCATTTTATCGTGTTAAAGATATTTAGTAATAAATTATAGTTTACCATATATATTATATTTAATATTTTATTATAAGACAAATATCTAACATTTGTTTTATTATTATCATATGTATTTTTCCATTTATTACTATTTCCATATCTTTGTAATTCATTTGATTATAAATAAGATAACTTTCACACCATTTAAGTGTGGTGGATTAATCAAACATTCACACATCGGAAGCTATCGTGATTTTTTTTTATTATTATTATTTAAAAGACCTCGTACTAATAGAGATATTGTCACTCTTACATATAATAATTTTTTTTTCTAACTAATATAAAATTTTGGTTACACTCAGGTCCGGACAATACTTACCCAGAACAAATGACCACATTGGCTGAAACTCAAATAGTCATGTCTTTGAGCGTTTGTTTAGCTGCCACGAGATCTTACTCTTATCAATGTTAGCTAGCTCTTCTTCTTAGAGAAACATTTATTTCCACGACCATCATATTCAAGGTTGAGTGCGTACACTTTCGGTCCAAAAGAGGGTAGAATGTTTAGAACTAGATTTGCTAGTGTGTTCGTACAAATTCAAGAGTATTGAATTGTGATTGAGAAATATGAACAGAGACACAAATAATTAAGATAAAGAAGACTAAATGCATGAAAGTTATGTCACAATTGGATGGATATTCAAGCATCTACGAATGTCTAAGTCCTAGTGGAAGGATCTATGTATCTAAGCAATTTCTTTAAAAGAAAGGGGAAAAAAAAAAAAAACAATAGGCTTCCTTTTTTGAAGTTATATTTATTTGTGTTATGATATGCTTATGAACTATTTGAGCGTCAGAAGAAGGTTCTTTACTCATCCTTACAGTTCTTGGAGAAACCCTTGGGACTGCTTTCGGTTCACATTTTCGGCCAAATTTCTTCATGGAATTACCGAAGGATCTTCCATAGATGAACACATCAAAGTTTTAGTTTTTGATTCGCAAGAAAAAAGCTCGAATCTGAGGGAGAACATTCAAGATTTTTACCTCATGGTTCATTGCGGTTTGTGACGCTTCGACCTCTTAGACCCCTCTATCCTTCCAAGAAAATGTCCTTGCATCTAGATCTTGGGCAAGGGTGATTTTCCGTAGTGGTTCAGTGAGTTTTTCCGGCGACTCTTTGATCTTTTACTCTTCAAGTTCTCTCAAACTTTCTTTCTCACTATTTTCTCTTTTGCAAGTGTTACGTGGAGACTACTCATGACTCCTACAATGGACTGAAGGGCAAAATGACTCATTTACTCTACGTTGACTTTGACTTATTTGTTTTTTTAAGTGTTACCGTAATAAAGTGCTATTTCAAAAAGACCACTAGCATATAAGACGCTTCTAAATACTAAATCATTTTAGATGGCTAAATCTAGAAAGAAAAGACAAACATGCTTCGCGAAAAGATGATACCTATCTTTACATGGGTCACACAAATATAGATAGAATTAAAATGCTAGTAAAGAGTGGTCCTCTAAAAAAAGTAAAAAATTAGAAGCTTTATCCCTCAATAAGTCGTAACTTAAAAAGAAAGATGATCTAATGGTCTTTTAGAGGAAAAGAACATAGAACTAAATAACCTTTGGAGTTTATACGCTCAGACCAATGTGGTTCGAGGAATGTTAAAGTTAGATGAGGATATGAATATTCCATCTCGTTTAGAGAGTACATAGACTTGTCATTCCTAGACAATTTATAGAAAATGAAATAACATCCCGACTTTCAATTCCTGAAACACCTCAATAGAGGAGAATTCAAAAGAAGAAATACTTTAGATATTGTTCAATCTCCAATGAACTCCACTACCATATTTGGGGATGTCCAACATATAAAGTATGTTTATTTGTAGAAATTGGGACCTTATTCTAAAATAATGCGTGCTCAAAACAAATCTAAAGAAATTGGAACCTCGGTTAACCCAACACGACTACATGTGGCTATTTCCACCATCCTTATGAGGTCATAAACCATGTAATAAAATAATATTAAATGATTTTTTTTTTTTTTTTTTTTTTAATGAAGTTACTAACATATAAATAAGAGTGGTTGATAGTTTCATCACATGTAAAGATAAGACGTTTCCATGTCAAGGATTGAAACGTCTCGTTGTAGTGGGAGAATTATGAAATAACCTAATCATTACCCAACTTAATTGAAACTCAATTGTTCAAAACTTATGATGATATGGAGAATCCATTTACTTTTTAAGGAGTAATGAACGATGTTAACAATGATGAACAGATTAAAGTCATGAACCTCATACTCTGTGCACTTGTCCTTAACAACACAAAATGAAGCAAAAAGCTTGACAACAACAAAATATCCATAGTAAGTAATTGAAATACTAAATAGAATTTTCTTATTCACGACTAAATTGAATCCGAGTTTAGTACAGAGTTGGAAGCTAACCTTACACCAATGCACGACTTAACGTTTCAGCGATAAAGCAACAACACCATTTTAGATGTTTCAAGGTGTAAGTGCAAGCTCCTCTATAAATATAAAAATAGGAGCCAAAATTCGAACATGGACAAGCCTATAATCGAGACTTACAAGCTTTGGCCGATAAGTTAACTTAGCGGCAGGATAATCCTACCATTGCGGCACCACTTTTGTACAACACAAAGCCAAAGGCATCGATCACCATCCACAGAAACGTCGCATTGAGCCAACACACTAGATTCACGAAATTCTGTCTTTTTCGGAAGAAATTTTATGCAACATGAAATATCTTTCACTCTTTCACTCCTTTGTGCAGAAAATTCATTATTAAATTTACACGTAGGAATGTTGTTTTTCAGAGAATTTCGGTGAAAGAAAATTGGGAAAATGCGTAACAAAAAGGAGAGAGAGAGAAAAATAACTCTGACTGCGTTCAGGTTATTTTATTTTTTGAACAAATCTCCTATTAAAGTAAAAAGGATTCTAAAATTGGCTGGAGAGTGGCCAACTAAATCTGTGCCACTCCCTACAAAATTTCAGTCTAAAACTCTGGTGATTTCTGAAATCGTGTGAATAAGAAAAACGGTAAAACTCAGGTTTTATCTAACAATCTCCTCCTAAAACCTGTAGTATATCTACCTTACTATTTGAACTCCGATCTTTGAGCGTAGTTCTTCAAATTTCACCCGTGCCAGGGACTTGGTGAAGATGTCTCCAAGTTGTTCCTCTGTTCGGATGTAATCAATTTTGATGAGCCCTCGATCTGCACATTCTCGAATGTAGTGGAATCTGATTTCTATGTGCTTGCTTCGTTCATGCAAAACTGGATTTTTGATCAGGGAGATCGTAGCTTTGTTGTCTACGTATAGCATTGGTGGATCACTTTCTCTCCCGATGAGTTCTTCCATTAGTCGCGCAAGCCAGATCCCTTGTGTTGCTGCCATCGAAGCGGCGATGTATTCTGCTTCACAGAAAGACAAAGCAACTACCTTCTGTTTTGTTGATTGCCAGCAGATTGCGCCGCCTGAGAGAAAGTAGATCATTCTGCTAGTGCTCTTACGATCATCAACGTCACCGGCCATGTCACTATCACTGTAGCCAACTAGCTTGAGTTTCTCCTTTCAGCTCCCTGCGCAGTATCTTACACCCCAGCCTCTGGTTCCGGCTACATTGCGCAGGATGCGCTTGACAGCCACTAAATGCTCCTCCCTAGGTGCTTCCATAAACCGGCTCACATATCCAACAGAATAAGCAAGATCAGGACGAGAGTTTACCAGATAGCGTAGACTCCCGACAATGCTGCGGTAATTGGTGGAGTCGACTGTCGTCGTAGTGCCAGCCTTCCTTAGTTGGAGTCGGGCCTCCATTGGCGTCCTTGTAGGATTACTGTCCACAAGTCCAGTTGTGTCCAGCAGCTTCTTTGCGTATGCACTTTGGCAGATGGAGATGCCGGTAGAATTCTGTTGCACTTCGATGCCGAGATAGTAGTTGAGCACGCCGAGATCGCTCATCTCAAAGTTTTTCGACATCTCCTTCTTGAACCTTCCGAGGACTTCCATGTCACCTCCAGTGATTATGAGGTCGTCGACGTACACTCCCACGATTAGTCGCTTCTTGTCATGGCCGTGCGTGTACATGCCATGCTCAGAGGCGCAACGTTTGAATTTTAGTGACAGTAAGGTACTGTCGAGCTTCGCGTTCCAGGCTCGTGGAGCTTGTCGAAGCCCGTAGAGTGCCTTGTGCAGGCGCAATACTTTATTGGGGTTGTTGTTATCCAGGAAGCCAGGTGGTTGTCGGACATAAACAGTCTCCTTCAGCTCTCCGTTAAGGAAAGCAGACTTTACGTCCATATGGTGAACCTCCCAAGA